TAGGCCCCGACCCGTGGCCTTAACCTTGGCCTTGCACGCCTCGGAGCTGGAACTGTACTATGTCCCATGGGCTCCGCCTTCAACATGTCTACGACCTGGCTGCCTGTCACCTCCTGTGAGGGTCTCAGTCACCCCCTGCCCCTAGATAACTCACGTCATGCCCTCTCCCCTCCCCGGGCCCCACAAACAGGGTGGGCACATACACCACGGTGTTTTTGTTTCGAGCCTCCACTTTGGCTGCGCAGCTCTATCCGCTCCTGGAGATGGGGAGCTGACCACCCTCCAGGGAGTCTCGGGGCCACCCCGCTCTGCACGGGAGCCCCAGGATGGCGCCTGGCGTGGGCCACAGCCACTCTGAGCCACCTGCCCAGGACTGAGAGCATCTGATGATATCAAAAACACACGCATACCAACAAGCATGTTAGCGGTTTGTGGCAGGTAGGGGCTGGATGGGAAAAGCCTAATCGGGCGAGAAAAGACAGGATGCCCCGAGTCAGAGACTCAGAGCCGACACACGCGGGGCCTTCCCTCCCGAGCCCCAAAGTCGCCTGTAGAATGAGGACACGGGCACAGCCCGTCCTGGGCAGGGGTGTGGAGTATGGCCAAGCGCCCTGCTTGGGGCCAGGCTCTCACACTTCCCACGACGTGGCACTGGGCATGAGTCCTGGTGCCGGCCCTCTGCGTGGGGTCCCCTGGGGGGTGCCGCCTGCCTCTCCGAGGCTCTGCTTCTATAACATGCCACGAACCCGCCTCCCACAGTTGCCAGGAGGTTCAAGTGGGGAACATCCAGTCCATCACATATTGCCATCCCCCCTCAGCCGCCCCTGCCCCACAGGGGGTGGTGTGCAAATACATGGGTCCTGCCCTCCAGGGACTTCCACTCTAGGGGGTCGAGGGGGACGCACACACAGGAAACCATGACGCAGATGACCGTTTACACCTGTGACATTTGGGTGTGGCTGGATCTTCCAGGAGGGCCTGGGCTCGCACCAGTCACTGCTGGGAAGGTGCCCGTTTCAGTGGCTGGAGCAATATGGGAGAACGTTATTAAGCCGGTATTCCGCTAATCTTTTATTAGTAGTATTTCCAGGGGGAAAAAAAGCACAACGTAGTCTTAGTGAAGCTGGGCGAAAGTGGGGGGGGTGCCCAGGAGTGGCTCTTGCGCGGGAGGGGACAACGCGCTCCATGTTCCATTTCGGCAAAAGGCGCAAAGGGTTAAAGTCATTTTCATTAAAATTTAAATTTCAGCAGGCGTTCGCTCTCCCTTCCCCAGCCTTTGAACGTTTGACTGGCAACCATTTCATATTTCAATCTCGGCAGAACAAATTGAATTAGATGTTGAAACCGAACTCGGGCTCTGCTCACCAAAGCCTGCGTGCTCGGCTCGCACTAATCCTTCCTCAGCGCCGCGGAGCACAGGCACGGCAGCCCGGCCACAGAAGACAAAACGCCGGGGCAGCAGGGAGAGAGGAGGGAGAGCAGGTGGCCGAGGGCCGCTGGAATGACGCGGGTCTCCAAGCCCAGGACACAGAACCCCGTGGAGACATTCTGGCCTTGACTCCCCGGTGCCCGGCACCCAGGGCCCCTGCTAAGTGTCTGACGAATGAAGGAGCTGAGGCGTCCTGGGTGGCTTTGTGCCAGCCCCTGCCTCCGGCTGGTGCCCCTTCTGGCTCCCTGTGGAGTGAGGGCGGCTGCCCGGCGCCCTCCCAAGGCCAGCTGCTCCCTTCCGTGGGAACCTGGGCTCAGTCCGGTCCCGTGACCCTCCATGCCAGGCCCTGAGCAGTGTGCAATCCGGCCAGAAGATGCCAGCTCGAGTTTCCCGGGAGGCCCCCGGAGGCCTGGCCAGGCCCTCACCACACCCCAGCATAACGCCCCGGCCCAGACCTTTGCCAGGTGGGCACCGACAGCAACCTTTCCTTACTCAGCTAAGCAGGTAGACGGGCCCAGAAGTGCTGAGCCGGGGGCCTGAGGGAAGGGCCCACCTGTTTCCCAACTGCACATGCTAGCAACCGTTGGCTCTCCAGGGTCTGGTTCTGTGCAAGCAGGTGAACAAGGTGCTTGCTCAGCCCGCTCTGGGGCCTGGGGGCAGAGGGCACCTGGGCCCCCTTCCCGTGTGTCTGGACCCCCGTCCTGCCCCACGCTGCCAATGTGGGCCCAGCAAGCCTGCTGTGCACGCGCTGGGCACGGCTTCCGTGGGCAACCGTGGGGTGCAGCACCCCAAGCCTTCCTCTTTGTTAAATGAGGACGGCAATTGTGAGAACTACCACTTCTCTAGAGAAGCACCCCCGCGCCACGCCCTGGTCTCAGTGCTCCCCACCCGGGATCTTTTCATCTTTCAAAAAATCCTAGGAGGCAAAAATTCTTCTCCCCATTTTAAAGATTTGGAAACGGAGGCAGGAGACAGCCGCACAGGTGGTGGGTGGTGCTGCTGAGATTCTACTCCCCCACCCCCCGGGTCTAACCGCCATCCTCCTCCCGCAGGAGGGAGCCGGGCCCTCCTCTCCCGTCTGGAGCTGTCTGTCTGGCACCTTCCGTGAGCCGGGCCCCAGGTTCCAACACTCGGTCCTCCCTCCGGGGTTCCTTGGGGCTTCACACCCGGGGCTGACCCCCCACGGCTTCTGCGGTCCCCTGGAGTCCCTCTCTGCTCAGCGTCCTGGTGCCCCGCTGGCTCCACAGACAACCAACCCCTGCCCCCACCCCTGCGTCGGGGACTCCAGGCAGAGCCAGAGGCCGCTGGGTGACAACAGCCCCCTGGGGAGGCCCAGGGACGGAGAGGGTTCCCTGGCTTCTGTCTTCTATTAGCCCCCAGAGCCTGAAGGTGCATACCTCTGGCCAAACCCGGCCTGTGGGTCAGGCCCCAGCAGATGTGCGGTGTGTCATGTGCAGACGCGGGGCACCCAGGAGGGGTTCTAGCTCCTGACCTGGCCCATGGCCATCTGCGCACCTTGAGGTCAGAGCCCCCTGACCTGGGGGCCCTGCATCCCCTCCCCCTCCGGGTGCCTGCTCTGGTTCAGCCTTCAGCACTGCCCCCTTACTTGCTCCCCCTGACCATCCGGGGCTCCCAGACCCCCTTTAGAAAGGGAGGGGTCCGGGGGCGCCTGGGTGGCTTAGTCGGTTAAGCGTCCAACTTTCGCTTAGGTCATGATATCACGGTTCGTGGGTTCGAGCCCCACGTCGGGCTCTGTGCTGACTGCCAGCTCAGAGCCTGGAGCCTGTTTCAGAGTCTGTGTCTCCCTCTCTCTGACCCTCCCCTCCTCACGCTGTCTCTCTCTCTCTCTCTCTCTCCTCCTAGAAATAAATAAAAATATAAAAAAAAAAAAAAGAAAGGGAGGGGTCTGCACATCAGTCGGGAGGCTCACCTGGCCCCAGGGCCGCACCCCTTCCTTGGCGGCCACCTCCGTGGCTTACTCCTGGCATGTCTTCCTGGATCGAACAATGTCCCATTGTCACTTCTGACGCCTCCTCATAGGCTCCCCGGTGCCCCGTGCTCCCGGTGACAACAGTGGGCATCCCCCGCCGCCCGGGCTCAAGGATCGGGAGCCCCCGCAGTTCACCCGGCGCTCGCTGGATGGGCGCAATGCTCCCCAGGTGGCCCCTCCCCCGTGCCGGGCGAACCTCACCCAGCTTTGCTGGACGGTCACTGGGCTGCGCTTCACCTCCTTCCAGAACTGTACTAGCGACGGCGGTTCAATGTAAGTTACGGCAGCATTCGTTCCTGACTGTCCAGGGCTGCAGTCATTTTCAGTGGGGAAGGGACAGGGCTCAGGGGCGTCTGACACAGGGACATGTGCGCAGGGGAGGGGTGCAGTGTGGCTACTTTTGATAAAGCGGTCAGGACCCACCTCTGAGTGAGCGAGGAGAATCTAAGTTCTCAAAGGGGAAATACAAATAAAGAGAGACAGGAAAGATGTGGAGGAAGGGTGTCGGGGCAGAGGGAAGAGCAAGTGCAAAGGCCCTGGGGCGGGAGTGCGCTGGAAAGGCCAGCAGGCCGGAAGTGAGGGACTAGAGGTAGAGCCTTCTTGCTGGGTGAGGAGCGTGACTTTATTCCAGGCGTGTGGCGGGTGCCCTGAAGGGTTTCGAGCTATGACTTGCGTGATCCAGTTCACGGACCCAGCTGGGTCCCTCTGGCTGCCTGGGGAAGGGGCAGGGAGGAGATGAGGGGGCATCCCTCAGGGACGTGCTGGAGAGCCAGGTGTGGCACGAAGGTGGGGTGATGGGGCGCCCTGCGATCTCCAGGGGAGTTGAACGCACTGCTCTCAGTTGCTTATGTGGCCGCTCCCCGTCTAGACAGGGAGCCCCTGGCTGGGGGGCGGAGAGGCCGGGCAGGGCAGGGGGGAGGGCAGGGCACCGGGTCTCCCAGGCAGGTGTGAAGGCACAGCTGCACTCGGCACACACCAGGCTGCAGGACCCGGCTGACCGCACCCCGGGGACGTTCCGGGCTGTCACCGAGTCAGTCATGTCTGTGCCTCCCGTGTGCCAGGCCCAGCGGCCGAGTGACACGGACGCCCCCACCGCTGGCCTGGCTCTGGCAGCGTGAGTACACACTGTTACGTGCCGCTCACTGGACAGGCAGTGGGGAGGTCGGGCTGGGCCCACCACCCCCGAGGCCCGCGGCACCTGGGGAGCCGGGTCACCCGATGGCCTGGCCTGCATAGGGCTTAACACCAACCCCGCTGACAGCCCCCACCGGCGCACTGGGGTCGCACCTGATATCTGCATATAAAAGCTGGGGGACACGCCGCTCTGGGTTCATGCATTTTGCCTCTGTTACTTCTCAGGGTCGAGAGAGCGGGTGTGACCCCGGGGCACCTACCCCCGGGGGCTGAGCCTCAGAGGGCGACCAGCGCCGTGGGGCTCTGCGGGGGCTCTAGACGGTTCAGGCAGACGGATGGAGGCTGGACCCCGCCACCCGCCTCCAGAAACGCACAGGCCCAGGTCCACGTAGACTCGAACCCGAGGCCCCAGGCAGGGGCCCCAAGTTAAGAACAGAAGTGCCGACGGGCCTTTGCTCCAGACTTTACTTGAGTTGTGACCGAGGCAGTCAAACCCCGGGTTAGCACAATGTCACCCCCCGTACAGGAAGAGAAGCTGGGGGGCAGAGGGGACCTCCCTGGTCTGCGGCCGCACAGCTGAGAGGGGCGGGGCTGGGATTTGCACCCGACCAGCCGTGGCCCTTCCCCCGCAGGGGAGCCCATCTCTCCCGTGGGTGTGCACGGGCATCCCAGGCTCAGGATAAGCCCTTCGACACCGCCCGCCAGGGCCGGGGCGTGTGTCACGGGGCCCCCGCCCGTGAGCAGAGGGTGTCCCCGCCGTCAGACGCACAGCTCGGGCTCAGCTGCTGAGGCTGGCGTCTGGGCTCCGTGAGCCGCTCAGCGGCTTCCCCAGCCCCGTGCTCCGCCCCTGGAGGTCAAACCGGGGCTCGCGATCCCATGTGACGGGGGAGCAGGACAGAAGCCGAGTCCCGAGCTGGGCCCCCTCCTGCGGGTGGCGGTGGGCGGGAAGTCCAGCTAGCAGCCCCCCAGGGTGGGGGAGGCGAGAACAGCGGCTTCTGGGTGGGCTCATGCGCTGGGCACTGCGCCTGGGGTTTCTCATGGGTTAAGGCGGCACTTTTTCTCCCTAAACCTGTATGAGGCGGAAGCCCGTCAGTTCACAAGGCTGAGGTTGGGCCCAGGGAGGTTAGGCAGCCGGGCCGGGGTCCCCAGCCTGAGCGGGTGGAGCGGGGGCTTCGTGCCCTGATGGCCCAGATGCAGGAGCCGCCTCGCTCACCGGCGCCAGGCCTGCTCCCGTGCGGCCGTGCACCATAGAGCAACCCCCAAGTCCCTGTGCACCCCGGCCCTCCAACCAGCAAGGTGGGGCCCCGTCTCCCTGTCTGGGAGCAGCAGCAAGTGGGAGCAGAGGTCCTGGTGCTGCCGTGAGAGGTGAGAGGCCCCCTCATGTGGCTGCGCCTCATCTGCCCGCGGCCCTTGGGTGCCGGGCACAGGGTGGCCGCTGGAATGCATCAACCCGGAGGGCGGGCATCAACCCGGGCAGCCCTGGCTGTGGCTTGAGGCCACTGTCCCCTCTGACCTTGGGTGGGTGCCCTGCCCTCCCGTGGGGTGCCGCCCGCCCCCTCCACAGCCCGCGCGGCAGGAGTGCAGAAGCCGGAGCGGCTGTCCCTGGTCCCCAGGGCCCTGGAGCCACGTACCCTCTCGGTGCCAGCTCGTAGCTGAAGGGTTTGCTCCTCACTGTCATTTTCACTGTCTTCCAGCTGCTCCAGGATCTCGTCCAACACCACAGACCGCTTTTTCTTCGGGGGCTCTGTGGGAGCCCAGATGGCAAGAGAGGAGGAAAGAACACCGAGAGGGTTGGGAGGCGGGAAGAGAGGGGGAAAGGGGTGAGCAACATGGAGGGCGGGGAGGCGAGAGAGGAGAGAAGGAGCGGAGCGGGAGGAGAGGCGGAGGAGGGGCACGAGGGACAGGAAGCCAACGGGGAAGAGAAAACACGGGAGAGAGAGAGACGCCGGGGGTTAGTGTCCAGCCTCACCATGGGGCTGCCTTGCCCCAGCCCCAGAGCCATCCCGTTCGGCTCGCCACCCCTCCCCATCTCCCATCGCAAGGAACCGGTCCATTCGGGCAGGGGGAACAGGAGGCCCCTCCCAGCAGCTCAGACATTAACGGATCTCTGCCCGGCTTGCAGGGAGCAGAAAACCTTCGGAGCAGATGGGTCAAGGGGGGGCAATCGCTGGGGAAACAAACAAGAGCTGTTCTGGCTTTCTTGGGAGACTGCAGACCTCTTATAGGAAGGGTAGACGGCTGGCATCCAGCAGGTGCTCAATAAATGTTGGATGAAATCATGCTCAGAGCAGGCGTGGAGGGAAGAACAGCTAGAGTCTTCTTTAGAAAAGAGGGGCAATTTGACTTGGGCTTTGAAGGACGCAGAAGAGTTCTCTGTGATGACAGGAAGGGAGTGCAGGGGCACAGCATGAACAATGGAATGGCGGGCTCAGCAATACCTGTTCCCTCGGGGCCCCAAACGCTACTGAGCGCCTACTGTGTGCCTCAGCTCTGCTCCTCTTCGCAACCCCACAGGCATGTGTTATTACTGCCTCCTGTAGGTGAAGGCACCGAGCCACAGACAGGTAAGTCTAAGGTCGGTCAGAGAAGGGTGGAGGCAGGATTCAAACCCAAGCAACACCAAAGCCACATTCTGCCCGGGACACCAAGAGCAGCTGGAGAAGGTGAGCCGGTCCCAGGCCTGGCCTGCTCTCAGCCCCTCTTCTAGCCTTTTTTTTTTTCCTAATATTTTTTTTTAATGTTTCTTATTTATTTTGAGAGAGAGAGAGAGAGAGACAGCGTTGAGGAGGGAAGGGTCAGAGAGAGGAGACACAGAATCTGAAGCAGGCTCCAGGCTCTGAGCTGTCAGCACAGGGCCCGACACAGGGCTCGAACCCACAAACCACAAGATCATGACCTGAGCCAAAGTCAGACGCTCAACCGGCCGAGCCCCCCAGGTGCCCCCGTCCCTCTGCTAGTCTAACCAATCACTGACACCAGCCTCACGGCCCATGTCTGGGCCAAGTCCTGGGTCTCCTGGGGAACAGCCTGGGCCAGTGACTTGGGCAGTGAGCCTATTTCTTCACCGTGTTTCTCCCGAGGCGACCGGGACATTGACCCCTTCCCATCTTCTCCACGGCCACCTACCTGACCCAAGCACTTTCACCCGAGTCCCTGCTCTTGTCCCCCCCCGTCCCCACCCCGATAGGTCTACTCTCCGCAGAGCAGCCCGAGGGACCCTTCCAGAGCAGGTGCTACCGCTGGGGGTGGGGGGTCTCAGAGCTCCGTGGGGCTTTGCGCAGCAGGGAGAGGGAAGTCCTCTGTCCCCGGGGGGAGGGGGGGCGTCACTCAGGCCGGCCCCTCCGGACTTGTGCACTGCACGCCCACCGGGAAACAGACCTCTGCCCCCACAGGACCCAGGTGGCTGGTGCTCAAGCCCCAGCTCCCGCGCCCCCTTCTCAGGGGACACCCCCCGCTCTGCCTTGTGGCCCTTCTCAGCACCGACACTGCGGTGCGCGCTTCTCTGTTTGGGGACAGGGCTGTCCTGCTCGTGACTATGCCCCCGGCCGGCACACTGCCTGGCACCCAGCGCAGGCCCACCACTGTCTGCCCGGTGAGGGGGGAGCACGTGGCGCGGGAAGGGGGCACAAGCGAGGCTTGAGGCAACGGTGGGAGGCTGCCCCCCTCCCTGCCCCGGAGCCTCCAGGCCTGGCAGCTGTATCCGTCATTGTTAGTCATGGAAAGGGAGAGGGGCAGGATGGCTGGGGCAGGGGCGGCGGCCCCCGGCGCACACACGGCTCCTCCGCCGCCTCCTCGCCGCTCTCGGTTTCCTTATAATCGCCGGGCTCCGGAGGTGCACAATGGCCTCTGGAAATTGAATTTGCGGGCAGGTAATGGGAGCCGGGAAATAGAAGGGCAGGAAAATAGGGCCTGTGGGCCTGTCATTGACGCCTCCTCCCTGCTACTAACGTGGGGGGTGTGAGCTCCTGGGATGGCGGCCCTGCTCTCCGGGCTCCCCGGCTCGGAGGGTCGGGGGGAGCTGCCCACCTCGGCAGCACCGGCGACAGAGCAGGTTTGGGCACTCTCCCCCACCCCTGCGCCCCCACACCCCTGCGCCACTGCCTCTCCGATCCTCCCCTCTCCCCCCCAGGCATCGGGGAGGTGGGATCAGAGCATGTCGCTCCTTTGTCTCAACCCTCCATGGGGCCATCTTGCCTGGGGAAGAGCTGAAGCCGTCAGGCCACCCGAGAGGGTCCCCACTGCCTCTGTGAACTTCCAGTCACACTGTCCCCCCTCATTCATGTGGAGATGGCCAGCAAGGGCCCCTTCCCAGTTCCTGGCCCCCGCTCCCCCACCCCCCTACCTCCGGGGCTCTGCACTTACTGTCCCCTCTGCCTGGAGAGCTCCTCCCCCAGGGAGCCATGGGCGGGGGACACTCACTTCTTAGGGGCGTCTCCTGGTCTTGTTTAAAGTCCCAAGCCCCCCAGTGCCCTGCCCTATCTCCCCATTCGCTTCCCGACACGGCACTCAGCCCTGCGTGCGGCTCACCGCCCCCCCCCCCATGGAGAACACCAGGCAGCTCCCGGTCATGCAGGGGGAGGAGCGGGCACCGAGGTCCCTGCGGCTCCCCGCCCCCCCCCCCCCGCCCCCCGGCTCGCTCTGCCTCTCTCATGGGAACGGGACCTCCACCAGGCAGGCGTTTTGTCTGCATCGTGCCTGCTGTACCCCAGTCCCTACAACAGAGTGGGGCCCGCAGCGGGTGCCCAGAAAGTACTTGCGGAGTGACTAAATAGACAGATGGCAGGGACGGAGGAGGGTGAAGAGGTCAGGCTGCTGAAGGACACACAGAAGCAGGGACGGGAACCAGAGGCGGTCTGTAACCACCTTCGTTCACGTTTTGGTCCTCGGGGCCGGGCATGGCAGTGAAGGGGACGGGCCCCATCCAGCGCGTTCCCGGCTTGCTGCGGGGAGATGGAGAGGGAAGCCAGCCAGCCGCGGTCCAGGCAGGATCAGCGCCGGGATGGGGAAGCCCTGCTCCTGTGCAGGCTATCAGGGCAGCTTCCGGGAGGAGGCGACGATGTAAGCATCGCGGTGCTGACTCCAGGCTCTGGCCTCTCACCACTGGCTGTGCTCACAGCCTCACGGCACCCCCCACCCCCAAGCCAGCAGGCCTCTCCGGAGCTTGGCCCGGCCCATGGGCACCGGCCAGGCTCAGTCTGCTGCGGGGAGAACCAGCTCTCCCACCCCTCTGCCTGGAATGCTGGCCCTGCCCTTGGCCACCCTCCCGCCTTCCTCCAGGTCACTGACGCCAGAGACCCTCCCCTCCTCAGTGGCCATCTGATGAGCATTTAAGAGCCACACCTCCAGGGATGCAGTGGTAACGGAACGAAGGAACCCACAGCAACTAGAACGGAGCCAGGCTCTGACCCTATGGCCCCTCCCCGGTGGCGGGGGCGTCACCCCTCGGAGCCGCGCCCCGACACGGAACAGGTGGTTAGAATGGACACGTGGTGGGCTACTGCCCTCGCCACCCCCCTCAGCTCAGAGTGGCCACTCGGAGGGCCTGTGCCGGGGGACCCGCCCCGCCGCCAGCTCTGCGCACGGGTCTGCCTGCCGGCTACCGTATCCCGGCGCTCAGCACAGAGGAGGCGCCCTGTAACCACGTGCTGAACGTAAGAAGGAATGAAGAGTAAATGAATGACCGAGTCCTAGGGCACCAGGAGCACGATCTCTGGAGAACTGCACTGACGTCGGGATGGCCACACGGCAAACGGGGCGCATGGGGCGAGAGGTCATCTGGCTGGGGAAACTGAGGCCCACAGGGCGGGGGACGCAGTCGGCAGAGGGGCCCACACGGGAGGGGGTGTCAGGAGCCCCCTGTAGGAGGGGGTGTGGGCACCCCACTTGGCAGGTGGGGAGATGGGGTGCAGGCTGAAGCGCAGACCCCACGGCCCCTGCGCTGCACACGGTGGCCCCGGGGTTCTGCCTCAGCGTGTCCCCTCAGGAGCCTGTGACACTGAGACAGAGCACGCGGTTACCAGGTCCTGCGTCAGGATCACACGCACAGGCTCTGGCGCTCCCCCAGCCGTGTCCCCATGGGCCGGGCACACACCCCGAGGGCCACTCCCTTGGGTATAGGGTGGGCGGGGGCAGGGCGGCTCCCCACCTCTCCGCTCAGCGTCTCCACTGCTGACCTGAGGCTCAAAGGTAAGGGGCTCCCCCTTCCTGCGAGGGCCCCTCAGTGCACCCCTCCGGTCCTCCACACTTCCACACACGCTCAGGAACGCAAGCGTGGGCACCTCTGCTCCACCGCCGCCGAGCCTTTCTGTGCCTCAGTCTCCCTACCTGGAACATGGGGGCGCTATTGACACCTACCTCACGGGGTCGCGGGGAGGGTCAGAGGAGGGAAAGGAGCAGTGGCCGGCACCTGGCTAGACCCGTCGGTGGGGGAGCCCAACAGCTCTGTTGTTGCCACTCAGGTCCCAGTGTTGATTTACATCTCACTTTGCCATCAGGCCAGTGTGCACCAACAGGGCAGGGGCCGTGGTCGGCTGTTAGGTCAGTGCATGAAACGATGTGGCGGGTGCAGCGTCCACTCCCCGCCCCAGGCTGGAAGACGGAAGTCTGGGGGCTCCGCTCACCCCGGCCGGGTGGAGGGCGGACGGAGCAGGTCAGAGGACCCGAGGTCCCGGCTCGGCCGCCTGATGGCCCCGTGACCTTGGGGAAGTCGCTTCAGCTCTCCGGGTCTCAGCTGCCCGGTCCGCC